GGGGGGGGGGGGGGACCTGTGGGTGCTCAGAGGGCACTCCCAGGGCGGCGACCTGGACACCAAGCTGCGGGATTACCCACCGCAGGCTGCGTAAACGCGGCCACAAACTCTCCCGCGCGCGGGGACAAAGGCGCACGGGGCGGGAAAAGTTCCGAGGCCTCCGTAGGAGTGAATATGAAATCCGAGGGACACAAGGTCGTGTCAGGAGCCCTTCCTCCCCCATGAGAGTCAGTGCCCCTCTCGAGGTGGGATAGGTCAGGGGCGCCCCAGGCGGGTCCCTTCCCTACCAGGCTCGTATACCGTGCAGCGTGGACACTCCCGAGTTGCCCTGCGGAATCCCAGGGCTCTGCACCGCGTTCAAGTCCCCGACGCCGAAGTTCACGAAGTTGTTATTGGCTGTGGCAGTGGCTGGCTGAGCCGGGGGAGGCCCGGCTGGGTAAGCAGCGGCGCAGCTGTAGCCGGGGTTGCAGGCCGCCCCACCATAACCCGGATAGGCGGAATAGGCATTATAGCCGTAGGCGTTAAGGCCCACGCCGTAGGCGGGCGCGTAGGGCGCCGAGTCTCCCAGGCATGGTTTGCCATCGCGCACGAGCACCGGCACCGCGATCCGGCGGGCAGGCGGCGGCGGCGGAGGGGGCAGCCCCACCAGCTCCAGAGTCTGATCCTGCCGCTGCCTCTTGCACTTGTAGCGCCGGTTCTGGAACCAGATCTTGACTTGCGTGGACGTGAGCTGCAGCGCGCTGGCCAGGTGCTCGCGCTCGGGCGCCGACAGGTACCGCTGCTGCTTGAAGCGGATTGTAAGGATCAATTCTAGCCGCCGTGCCCCGCCCAGAGATGTTCCCTGGCCTGCTCTCTATCTCTAGATAAACCTACGAATCCTTTCCTGGCTCACGGCGGCCTTTAGTCCAGCTCCTCCGACTACCCAAGGTTAGCGCCCAGCGCGCCCCTTTCTGCCGCCCGGGCTGGCCTTCCTATCCGACCCCAAGAGCCGATCTGGCCCCTTTCCGCGGTCATCTCATTCACCACGCGCTCCTTCGTTTTCTAACATTTCCCACGAGACAACCTCTCGGCTCTGGCCGGGTCGGTAAATTGTACTGGAAAAATAAAGCGAAGTCAGATTTCGGAGGGTCTGCAACATTCCATAAAAAAATCAAGACCCTTGTTCTCAAAGACTCCACTCCCCTGGCACAAAGGAGGAAAGGCCCCAGAAACCCGGGTCACGAGTGGGCAAGAGAAGGTCCAGGACCGTCCTCCAGTTGTGCGCAAAGGTGTGTCTGTTGTGCAGCATTTAATTTCCGTTTAGCGCTTCTCTAGATCCTCGAAAAGATCCGTAAATCTGAAAGAGATTTAAAAGTCCCTGTTGCAGAGATGATCTATTTGTGTCTCTGTTCTACCAGAAACTGATCGCTTAACTCCATAACAGATCCAAGAGCGGGCCGAAGTCGCTCCGAGCTTTGTCAGGCCGGAAAAAAAAAAAAAAAAAAAAAATTAGTCTGGTCTCCTGTTTCTGATCCTCTCAATCCGGCATTTCCTCTAAACCTCGGATTGGATGCGGGGCACGGAGGCCCTCGGACAACCTCGCATCTCACATTCAGAGCGAGCTGCGCCTCCGCCCATCTGTGCGCGTCTCCTTCTCCCGGCCTGAGTTTCTTGGCGGCGGAGTTTGGGGACAACAGCGACCTGGGAGGGGAGAGAGGGCTTGTGTTTTCTCCTCACCTTTCTTATCGGCTCGAGGGTCCTTAACCGGGTCGGGGTCTCCATAGGCACGCGGATAGAAGGCGGGGGCGGCGGGGAAGGCAGGCGAGCATTTGGCGGGCGAAGGCACGGGGCCCAGCTCTGCGCGCAGCTCCGGGAGGCCCGGCGCGGCCGCCTCAGGCCCCGCGTAGGCCTCGGGCTTGAAGGCGGCCAGCATGCAGGAGGCGGGCGCCAGGGTGGCCTCCAGGCGCGCGGAGAGCTCTCCGGCGGCCAGGCTGCGCTGCTCTTGCTCCAGGTTCAGGATGTCTTTGACGGAGAACGGCGTGGGCGTGAGTGCAGGGCTGGGGAACATGGTGGCAGCGCCAGTCTCACAGAGCCAGGTGGGCGGCAGAGAGCGGCGCTGCCCACGGCCCCTGGCCGCCTCCCTGCATGGTGCCCGCCGCCCGCCCCGCGCACCGGCCTTTCTGCTCTGGATGTGGCCCGGCAGCAGGTAGCGCTGAGCACAAGGGGCAGAAGAGGCGGGACCAGGTCGGAGGAGGGAGACTCAGATTGCCATTGGGCCAGGGGCCTCGCTGACAGAAGCGATGAGCAGTTTCGTGTCACCTAATATAGTCATACAGCTAAAAAAAAAAAAAAAAAAAAAAAAAAAAAACCCCCCCCAAGTTTTTTAAAGGGGAGAACCCCGCTCAGCTTTTTTAAAGGGGCCGCGACGCATTTGGAAGACTCCTTTTGCTCCTGCAGCCTGAAATTGCTCCATAATATTAGCCTGAAAAACCTACCAAGGCGCATTCACAGGAAAGACATGATTCTTCTTTGAGTCTGGCCTCTGGGCAGTGTTGGGTGGGTCTGAGATTTGAAGAAATGTTCCTCAGCACCCAAAACAGAATGAGAGAGTGAAAGATGCGGTGGGAACCTGGGGGGAAGAGTTATTTCCAGTAGGTTTTATAACTGAAGATGTGTCTGACTGGAAAGAGAGCAGGGAGGACAGAGCTGGCTTTGGGGGGATGGGGGAGGGATTCTGGATAATTCTGGGGTTCTGTTTGGCTTGACCTACAGGGCCAATCATATCCCAGAAGTCCCCTGTTCCCCAGGATCCCAGGCTCTGGGGACTCCTGGGTGAGTCAAGCTGAAAGAAAGGGCAAGGAGTGTGATTGTGGGTGGGAGTGGCCACCTCTTACAGTCGTGCAAGTTGTACACAGCACAACTCCAGGGGGCAACATTCACTGCCAGCATCCTCCTAGCAAAACGACTTTCCTCTTATTAATGAAACAAATCCAGAACCCCAGCCGGTAAGTTCAGCTTTTCAGAAAGTTGTCTTCTAGGGTGCCCAGCTACTAGTGGCCATTTCTCTCCTCTTTTCTGGAGTCCACCAACAACTGCCTCCCTTCTTTCCCTACCCTTCCTGCCTAGCAGCAAGGCCCTCGGGCGTCTGCCAGCTCCAAAGCCTCAGGTTCCCAGCCCAGGTTTAGCTCCCAGGCAGGCTGGGCAAGATATCTCTAAGGTGTCTGCGCCAGGCTGGGAGTGGGGTGCCCTGGCTGCGTGGTCAGGCACATGGGGGAAGGGCAGGGCAGGAGGGATGATCATATTTAGCCCAGGGTCAGTAAAGTAGGGCGCTTCTGTCAGGTAAATCTGCCAGGGTTTCAGGAGCACAAGCTACGTGGTCAGATCCTGCGCGGGTGGCCTCAACCCTCTGGGTCCTGGCAGGCCTTACGGAGATCTGATGAAAGCTTCAGGCCTTCCCCACCCCCGCCAACACTCCAGAGAGGCACTCTATTTTGTGTAGAATTTCGGGGAGGGTTGGGGCAGGCAGAAGGGCGCCGGGTTAAAGACGTTGCCTTACCCTATCGCTGGGGATGGCGAAGCTTGTCAGTGGAAAAGCGTTGACTTTCCAGGAAGCGCGTTTGTGCAGGGAAGTCGCGGACTGGACGCGTGGACTTGCTGAGAATAGGGATGCGGAGGGCTCGGCTTGGCTCCTTGTGAAGGGCGAGTTGGGGACTCGGGAAGAGGCGCTTGGAGTAGAATAAAGGCCGCGCGGTGCAGGGCCAAAAACTAGCTAAAGACACCGCTTCGGCCCGGGGCGCCAGAACGCGCACCCAAAGGGCGGAGGAAACACGCAAAGTCTGGGAACAAAACGGTGTCTGCTCGGAACTTGAGTCTTGGGTCCTCCAGAGGGAAAGGGAGCCGTCGAGCAGCGCCGATGCAAGTGAAGGCAAGCATTGGCCTCACGTTGGGACCTTTCTACCCCTCATCAAACTTACACTCCCAGGGCCTGCGGCCTCCGAGCTAGGGCGAGGGAGAGCCGAGCCCTGCGGGGCAGTCCCCGAGGCACGCAGCGCCCTGACCCCGGCTTCCAGGCGCCAGGCGCACCAGGCCCGGGCCGCCGCGGGGAAATCTCGCCTCGAGTTTTCGAGCCAGGAACGACATGCGGGTTCTGGGATTGTTAGCCTGGTCTGCAGAGAATGCCTTTTCCCAAATGGGGAGCTTTCAAGTCCCAGGATCCCGTCTCATACCCCCACCTCTCCACCTCCCGACCCGGATTCTCCCTCGACGGGTCTGCAGATCAGCGGCCTCTCTGCAGCCCTTCCTCGCCACGGCTTTTGGCCACGTTACAGTTACTGCTCTAAACTAACCTAGCTTGGGGGCCCGCCTCGCCTTTGAAGATTGTTTTTGGGGGGTGGGAGGAGGGGATGCCTATCACCGAGGCGGTGACGTCTGGCAAACGAGCCACATCCGATTCAATTAAACATCTCTCTGAAAAGAGCTCGAGCTAGGGTCCTGGGAGCGCTGTTAAGTGAATCGGCTGGCCGGGCGGCTCGCGATGACAGTTTGAAAGATTAGTGTGAGCCGACGCCTGAAATATTACCGTTTAATGGGGGACATCAGGCTACATCCGGGATCCCTGTTTTTATTTTTTATTTTTATTTATTTATTTTTTTGAGGTAGTTCTGGAGGAAAAAAAGTTCAGCATTTCTTTGCAAATCAAGGCAGTGAAGATTTATCACCTATTTTAGGATATGGGGTTTCCCAGAGTTGACGGACCTGTGAATGAGGTATCAAAAAAGGGGAAGGAAAGAAAAACCTTCCCTATTTGGACAAAATCAGTGACTTTCCCATTCCCTATGCCCTCTATGAATCCGGTTATAATTTCTTTTGGCTCTAAAAAGGGCCTTGGCGTTGCGGGAGAGACGAAATTGGGCAAAACCGAATATATAACAGGTAAAGTCAAAATCGGAGTGGCCCATGCTGGTCTCCGCATAGAAATGTCCAAGAGCAATTTCCACCTTTTTGTTGCAGTCCTCACTGTTTCCGAGTGAGTTCAAAAAATTATTTTATTTTGTTTTATTATTATTATTTTTTAAATAGAAGTTGTAATGGTTGGGGGTTGGGTGGAAGGAAACTTGATTCTCCGGCCCAAACAGGGATGCATCTTTCTTGCCAAGGGTGGCTGACCCAAACTGGCCGCCTCTCTAAGCCGCACTTTGACCAAACTTCAGGACAAACAAACAACCTTCAGCCGAGAGAAAGGCCGAGAGAGACAAAAGCAGACAGAGAGGAGAGATCGAAAATCTATTTATTTCCTTGCCTTTTAAAGAGTTGGTGCTTTAAGATTAGCCAGATTCCAGGGTGGTTTGAGCGCATTCTGCGCAAATAAATTATTATTAATTGAAAAGCCATCGGCGCGGCCGATTGGCTCCCCGTTCCTGCAATCAGCAGGGCTGGCCGCAAAAGGTATATATGATTAATTGAAAGATAAGCTGGAACTATCACCGGGAATGTCATTAATGCGCCGGGGAGACGTCCTTTGGAGACAGGCGGCGTTATCCGCGGCTTTATCTTCAACAACGCCTCGCTCTCGGCCCGCGCGGGGGAAGCAGATGGGGGTTTCTGTCTGGGACGCTCGCCCCATGTTTATATTTTGGGAAGAATCGCAACTCGTGGGAGTCCCCGGCGGGCCCCCTGATAAATGAACATTAGCACTTTTTCGGACTACTGTATCAACAAAGGGGCTGCGGCGCGGCAATAATTGGCGAGAAAGCAAACAGAGGGCCGAGAGCGCGACTCTGCTCTTCGTCCGGCTGATGGATGAGCAGCCGCGGTTGCGGGCGCGTCTCCCGGCCTCGCCTCGGCTCCCGGCTCGGCCGCGGGGCCCCTCCGCCGCCCTGGCTTCCTTCCTGGGCCAGGCTTGGGGAGGAGGGCGACTCTGAGGGCTGCCGACCTCGCTCGTGGCTCCGGAAGATCCCGGGCGACCTCCGAGGCTCTGGCGTTTTCCTGCCCCGGGACGCGCCTCATTCAAGTGGCTCAGCCGGTAGCAAATCCTCCTCATTCCACGGTTTCTTGAGCGCCCACTGGGTGAGCCACGCGCTCTCACAGATGTCATCGGGGATGCTCTTATCCAGATTTCTTGCCAGAGGGAGAATGAGGCTCAGAGAGGTGTAGTGACTTGCTCAAGGTCACACGGACAGGAAGTGACACTGTGAGGGTGTTAGGATTCGAACACAGGACTGGAACTGTTTTCTTAATTGCGTGTCGCAGCCCTACCTTGCAGCTAAAGAAGAAGAGCAGGGTTGTTGGATTTGAGATGCTGGGTCTCCCAAAACCTTCAGCAACAAAGGAGACCTTCTACATAAAGTTCATTTGAGAGAGAGAGAGAGAGAGAGAGAGGGTGTGGGGAGGAAATTAAGATGTTCTCAACTCACTTCCCCCCACTCTCTCCTCTTTGGTCACAGCTTTATTGAGATATAACTCACATACCAAACAATTCACTCATTTTAGGTATATGATTGATTTTTAGTATATTCACAGAGTTGTACAACCATCACCACAATCAATTTTAGAACATTTTCATCTTCCCCCAAAGAAACCTGTGGCCTTTAGCCATCAATCCCCAGCCCCCTCCTGGACCTTTCCAGCCCTAGACAACCACTAATTTACTTTCTGTCCTTATAGATTTGCCTATTCTGGACATTTTACACGTGTGGAATCATATAATATGTGGCCCTTTGTGTCTAGCATCTTTCGCTTAGTATGTTTTCAAGGTTCATCCATGCTGTAGCATGTATTAGGACTTGGTTCCTTTTAATGGCTGGATAATACTCTCTTGTATGGATATACCACATTTTGTTTTATCCATTCATCAGCTGATGGACATTTGGGTGGTTTCCGCCTTTTGGGTATTATGAATAATCCACCAGCCCACTTCTACCCTACAATCTGAACCTATAGAGGCCTGGCAAAGACTCTTTCCCACTTCCCCCATAATTAACCCTGTGCTTCCCTCAAGGCTGACTTCATGGGCACACAACGTGTGCAGTTGCACAGGGTCCAAGCATGGTTTAATGTTCTGATGTTGCT